GCCCGCCTCGGGCTTCTCAGAACCCGGACCGGCGCGAGCCCAGCCGCGGTCAGACGCGAGCTCCGAGTGTCCTCCGCCCGCCTCGGTGCTCTCAAGCCCCGGGACTGCGGAGACGAGAGCGCCTTCGAGGACCAAGACAAGCAGGGGACCGCGCGGCGGGAACGCAACGGCGAGGATAGCCGCTCCCGCGGGGAGCCTCGGGCCCCGCACTCACCTCAGCTTCTCCGCCGGGGCGTTGGCAGCACTGCGCGGGGTCTCCTCGCCTGCCGGACAGGGGCACGCACCTGACGTCAGCACGCAAGAGACGCACGGTTGGGCGCCCGCGGAAGTAGGAGGGACCATGAGAAAGACAGGACTGGGACTGGGCGGAGGTTAGTTCTGGCTCCGCCCACCCACCGCGCACGCGCTAGACTGCAAGTTTTGCACTCTCGGGTTTGCGCTCAGCCCCAGCTTCCCCCGGCTCCTTTTGTAATTGACTCTGAATCAGGATATGCACCGAACCGTCACGAACGTTTATTTATTTATTTTTATTATCTTAACTAGTTATACAAAGGAGTTACAGTTTAACAAAGCAGTCTATGAATACTGTGCATCTTGGTCAATGTCACCGTTTTCAACATTCTCATCTATCCTTCCCAACCTATCCTTTCCCTCGCTTTTCTTAGGATTTTGTAGGCTATACATTGAATTCTTGACTGCATTCTCTTTCCTTCTCCTCATTAGTCTGCCCATCTACCCTTAACTCCCACCAGTTTCCTGTGGGGTTTTTTTGCTTGTTTTTTGCCAGTCCTTGGGTTTGAACTCAGGGGCCTGGGTAACACTCTACCACTTGAGCCACAGCGCTACTTTGGGCTTTTTCTGTCTATGTGGTGATGAGGAATCCAAACCCAGGGCTTCATGCGTGGAAGGCAAACACTCCACCACTAAGCCACATTCCCAGCCCCTGGTGTTTATTTTGAACTTTGACTTGCCTTTCTAAAGAATTGTATGATTTGTGTTCTCCCTTGAATTTGATATTACCCATTGGATTTACTGTTTATTGTTTTATTTTGGTTCCTTGTGAAGGAAAAGTATCATTGGGGAACTTGTTTGGGGAGAGGGTTTGTTTTTTGTTTTTGCTTTTGTTTTTGTTTTGCCAATCCTAGGGCTTGAACTCAGGGCCTAGGCACTGACCCTGAGCTTCTAGTGCCCAAGGCTAGCACTCTACCACTTGACCACAGCACCACTTCTGGCTTTTCCTGTTTATGTGGTACTGAGAAATCAAACCCAGGGCTTCATATATGCTAGGCAAGCACTCTACCACTAAGCCACATTCCCAGCCCTGGAAGTTTTATTTTGTTGTTGCTTGTTTGTTTGTTGTTGCTTCTCAAAAACAAGTCAATCCTGACTGAGGAGGTCACACTGCAAGAGTATGCCCTGTTTTCAGGTGGTGGGCCCAAGAGCTAAATACCACTCTTCTCATCTCAGCACCCCTGACCACACAGATTTTCTTTGGAATTATAGACTTCATTTCCACCACCAGGTCTTGTTTTGATGGTCTGAACCTTTCATTGTTGCCTCCCAGCCCTCAAATATCACTGCCTTCCCACAATATGCTAACGTCTAAATTCACAACACCTGCTTATTAGCTCTTCCATGTTAGTGTGCTACTGCGCTTCAGAGAATAGGGATCTTCCCTGTCTTAATCTCTGTTTTCTAATGTCAGAGAAAAGTAGCTTATCTTAAATCAGTTCACTTATGTATGGAAATATGGCTCAGTGGTGTGGAGCCCAGAGTTCAGATCCCAATAATACGAAAAAATTACAATAGTTTACTTATGGATTACTGCCACTCTTTATGTGTGAGGCTTAACTTTTCACTCAAGGCAGGTACTGGACCATTTGAGCCACAGCTCCACTTCTGGCATTTTGCTTCTTAATTGGCAAGAAGAGTCAAATGGCGTTTTCTGCCTCAGCTAGCTTTGAACCACAATCCTCAGATCTCAGCCTCCTGAGAAGCTAGCCCCAGCTGTGAGACAAGGAGAGTTCATGGTCCAGAGTTCAGCCTCAAAGCAGAGGGGCAGGGAGAAGGTAAAAGTGCAAGGCCTTGAGCTCAAGCCCCAGTGCCACCACAAAAATAAAGTTGCTTTTTTTGCCAAACCACTTTTTCTTTTCTTTTTAGAGTATTTTTCAGAGAGGATCAGCCTTAGATCACTATCCTTATATTTATGTCCACTACAAATACAAGTATGCACCACCACCAGGTCTGTTGAAATGAGGTCAAGCTAACTCTTTGCCTGGGCTAGCCTCAAACCCATGTCAACCTCACAAATAGCTGGAATTACATGCATGCACCACCATACCTGACTAACTACATTTTTGAGTGTTTACTAAGGGCAGGGTGCTACAGTAACTAATTTAGTATTGCCACCTTCTTACTTAAGAATTATTACTCTCTCTCTTTGGCTGGGAATTTGGCTTAGTGGTAGAGTGATCACCAAGCATGCATGAAGTTTTGGGTTCAATTCCTCCATACCACATAAACAGAAAAGGCCACAAGTGGTGCTATAGCTCGAGTGGTAGACTGCCAGCCTTGAGCAACAGCTCAAGACCCAGGACTCAAGATCAAGCCCCAGGACTGCCAAAAAAAAAAAAAAAACTATTACTTCATTTTATAGTTGCTTAGAGGTATTAAGGGACTGGTCTGAGGCCACCAAGCCAGATAGTAGCAAAGCTGGGACTTATACTCAGGAAACTGGCTATAGTTGTCCACTACAATATCATACTACCTAGTAAGTTTATTTAAAAGAAACCATGAGAAATGAGAAATGTTTAAGAGAATCAGTCCTAGTGCTACCCTTAATGAACTGTAAACATTTTGTGCACATTTTTCCAGACTTTTTCCTATGGAGATATACATTTAGATAGAAAAAATAAGGCTATAATCTACTTTTCTCTCTTAGTGGTCTGGTGTGGTATGTCAAGCCTGTAATCCTAGTTATGAAAGGCAGAGATTGTAGGATCATGGTTTGAGGCTAGCCTAACAAATAGCTGGTCAGTGGTGTGTTTCTTTCATCCCCAGAAACATCAGAAAACTGCAAAAGGAGGATCTCATAAAGCAAAATTCTGCCATGCCTATTCTGTTGCTGAACCTGTGGAAAGATTCCCAGTTTCAGAAGGACATGGGGCAAGTTCACCAAGAGGGGGGAAAACAAAAAGACAACCTTACTCCCAGAGTGATTTTGGGGGGCCATTTACCTAAAGCGCTTTATGAAAATCAGATTCTGGTTTATTTGGCACTATTACAAGATTCAAACTACCCAGAAGTAAAAGGACTGGAAGTAGCAGAGGCTATGCGTTTGGTAGAATTCAACTACCTTTGTGGTGGTAAAATTCTAGTGTGTCATTTTATGCCACCAGAAAAAGTAAGTGGAGAACTTTTTGAAGAATGGAATGTTCTATTTTGTTATCCCACATATCCAGCAGTGAAGTGCTATAATCAGGACAGGAATTTTGTACAAAAGATACAGATGAAGATGCAATTTAAAAGGAAAGAAAACTGGGCTGGGAAGGTGGCTCAGTGGTAGAGCACTTGCCTTGCATGCATGAGGCCCTGGGTTCGATTCCTCAGCACCACATAAGCAAAAAGAAAAAAGC